ACGGGGAGGGTGTGGGGTTCTGTCATATTATCACATGATAAAGTATCAGAAATACCATGTATACAACTGTGCTTTGATTTAAATGTGTACTTGTTGTAATTACCTGTGTTGGTAGAAGACTCCAACTCTGCTGTGTTCGTATTTTTTTATCAACCAGATCTCCATCACAAATGCTATCTGCTGCTTGACTTAGCAACTGTAAATGTTTCTTTATATCTCCCCTATGTTGAAACAATAAATCAACGTCATCTTGAGGTTGACACAGTAAATACCTTTTACTAAAAATCGTTTTCAAAAAATGTATTACATGTGATAATACAAAAAGCTACTAATAGTGCAAATTTAGCGATTTCAGATGGAGCTGAAGTGTACAATTATGTTAACACAATTTTTTCCCAATTCATTTTGACTATTGTTGCTATGTGTTAAATCTAGTAAGTATAATTATTGTAGTCAATTTTTCTACACAAATAACTTTGCTTAGTAGTAGAATATAATGTAAACTGATTTAAATATGACAATTTTTGTTTTTCAAGAAAAAGCTACCAGTTAATAATTCTCATTGAAGTCTGCAAGACAGTGGCACCATCAGAGACAGGCACAACATTTGATTGGAAAAGTACACAAATTATAAATCATGGACCTTTAAAATGCGAAAAACAGTTCAAACTACCTTGCATTCACTGGCATAACTGAAGGATAATTTTCTTGAACAAATAAAGGACCAATGGAATAGTCTTGAAAGAACAAATCAGTTTTATCAAAGAAACTCATGTGCTTTCTCTCTTCTCCAAAACAGAAAACCTTTCGAACAACGTCAAATGGTCCCTGTAAAACAAGAGATTTTGAGGAATAGGTTAATTTGTTTTCACAGCCTCCAACTACAAATACTATTAAAATCAACTGAATACTTCATGTCAAATAATTGACAGTTCAGGATTTTTACCATTTTCATGTCTTTCTGTGCTTTTTCTGAATCCCTTTTAACTTGGTCATAACTCATGGACTTTTCACTTGCACTCCACATATTCAAATTATGAATAACCTATGAAAACAAAAACAAATAAATTACAACAAACTTGACATCATGATTGCCCATTCCAACAAACCTGACATCATGATTGCCCATTCCAACAAACCTGACATCATGATTGGCCATTCCAACAAACCTGACATCATGATTGGCCATTAAAACAAACCTCACATCATGATTGGCAATTCCAACAAACCTGACATCATGATTGGCAATTCCAACAAACCTGACATCATGATTGGTCATTAAAACAAACCTCACATCATGATTGACCATTCCAACAAACCCGACATCATGATTGGCCATTCCAACAAACCCGACATTATGATTGGCCATTAAAACAAACCTGACATCATGATTGGCCATTAAAACAAACTCACATCATGATTAGCCATTCCAACAAACCTGACATCATGATTGGCCATTCCAACAAACCCAACATCATGAATGGCCATTACAACAAACCTGACATCATGATTGGCCAATATGACAAACTTGACATCATGATTAGCCATTCCAACAAACCTCACATCATGATTGGCCATTAAAACAAACCTGACATCATGAATGGCCATTACAACAAACCCGACATCATGTTTGGTCATTATGACAAACCCAACATCATGATTGGTCATTATGACAAACCTGACATCATAATTGGCCATTATG